TGGTAGAGAGGAGAAACAAGCATAGTGTACAAGAGAAAGATTAGGATGTGAGAGATCAGAATAGAAGAAAAAGAGATGGAAGGAGGGGTGGTAGAGAGGAGAAACAAGCATAGTGTACAAGAGAAAGATTAGGATGTGAGAGATCAGAATGGAAGAAAAAGAGATCGAAGGAGGGGTGGTAGAGAGGAGAAACAAGCATAGTGTACAAGAGAAAGATTAGGATGTGAGAGATCAGAATGGAGGAAAAAGAGATGGAAGGAGGGGTGGTAGAGAGGAGAAACAAGCATAGTATACAAGAGAAAGATTAGGATGTGAGAGATCAGAATGGAAGAAAAAGAGATCGAAGGAGGGGTGGTAGAGAGGAGAAACAAGCATAGTGTACAAGAGAAAGATTAGGATGTGAGAGATCAGAATAGAAGAAAAAGAGATGGAAGGAGGGGTGGTAGAGAGGAGAAACAAGCATAGTGTACAAGAGAAAGATTAGGATGTGAGAGATCAGAATAGAAGAAAAAGAGATGGAAGGAGGGGTGGTAGAGAGGAGAAACAAGCATAGTGTACAAGAGAAAGATTAGGATGTGAGAGATCAGAATGGAAGAAAAAGAGATCGAAGGAGGGGTGGTAGAGAGGAGAAACAAGCATAGTGTACAAGAGAAAGATTAGGATGTGAGAGATCAGAATGGAGGAAAAAGAGATGGAAGGAGGGGTGGTAGAGAGGAGAAACAAGCATAGTGTACAAGAGAAAGATTAGGATGTGAGAGATCAGAATGGAAGAAAAAGAGATCGAAGGAGGGGTGGTAGAGAGGAGAAACAAGCATAGTGTACAAGAGAAAGATTAGGATGTGAGAGATCAGAATGGAGGAAAAAGAGATGGAAGGAGGGGTGGTAGAGAGGAGAAACAAGCATAGTGTACAAGAGAAAGATTAGGATGTGAGAGATCAGAATGGAAGAAAAAGAGATGGAAGGAGGGGTGGTAGAGAGGAGAAACAAGCATAGTGTACAAGAGAAAGATTAGGATGTGAGAGATCAGAATAGAAGAAAAAGAGATGGAAGGAGGGGTCGTAGAGAGGAGAAACAAGCATAGTGTACAAGAGAAAGATTAGGATGTGAGAGATCAGAATAGAAGAAAAAGAGATGGAAGGAGGGGTGGTAGAGAGGAGAAACAAGCATAGTGTACAAGAGAAAGATTAGGATGTGAGAGATCAGAATAGAAGAAAAAAAGAGATGGAAGAAAGGAAAAGAAACGTGAGATGAAAGTAGCTAGATATGCGTTATACAGCATTATGACGTTCTTAACAATATACGTGGACATTTGACCAAGTGGATAACAGATAATCAGCCCACCTATACTTGCTCCAAACAAGTATTACAAATCTAGTTTAACTTGTAATGGCGAGAGGGATTGCTGAGATGTGCGTGGGTGAACGTTTAGGTTTAAGCGGAAGGATCCCAAGTGCAAAGGTTCAACATAATACTTCCTGTTATGAATGTCAGTGGGAATTTCCACTCGAAAAAAATACATACTCATGTAGTTCAAGTTGAAGTTCAAGCTCATTATATACAAAACCACACAAAACATAATATAATCTTTTACATAAAAAAGAGACTGGTAATAGTACACATTATGAAATGAATGGTTTTAGGTCACCCTTGTAGAAGCTAATATAATAGAAAACAGAGCATTCAGAGGAGCACGCCGTTGAAACTTTGAACAAAATCGGACGATAAGTTATGAATTGTTAAAAGTTGTATAGTAGGGGACTTCATACACGTATGGGCATTTGATTCGTAAAAATGACATTTTTAATGGGGATAAAAAAAATTGTAATCAAGACAAACAATAATGTATGCGGACACCTCGTACTTAAATACAACAACTCATTTAAGTATTCAGTCACCTCGATACTCGAATATGAGGATATTCTCATTGCCCCAAAGTAATTTTGATTGAAAAGATATAAAACATACTTGGATACCTCGCTGTCAATAAGAATATTATTCGGGCCCCTAGGTCTTCGCCCACAGATGGAGGTATATTCAGGCATTTGGTTGCCTGAAATCATATTATTTCTAAATATTGCGAGCGAGGAAGAAAAATTATAAAATTACAAACTCTCGTGGTTTCTAACCTTCGGTTTACATGAAATCTTTGACCCTTTAGAATGGGGAAAAGTTGCATTATAAAGTGAAATGGACACAAATAGATACTCTCTCTCTCTCTCTCTCTCTCCGTCTCTTTTCCCATATGTCTTCTATCTTAAAAAATAAAAATAATAATACGAACAATTTATATAGCGTTTTTGACATAAAAGTTTCAACGCGCTGTACAAAAATCAAGATTAATTTATAAGAAAAATCAATATTACTAATGGAATTAACATATGTTCCACTCCTATCTTCATTGCATTACTTCTCCGCAGTACACTACATCAAAGACGCAGATCTGATCACCCGAAAGCAAATGTTCGATAACTTGACCTTTGACTTCGTAGTAGGTCCATGATTTGACCTACAACAATAGGTATTACCAGGGAGGTGTCAGTTTGTACAGCTAACATCTACCTCTTATAACTGTACCGATGAATAACTTGCAAACTGTTTATGTTAGTAGTGATTGGGTAGGCCTTATTGTGCCTTGTCTAAACTTTATGTCGACCATTTATACTTAGTCTGTTGTTTGAAACTATTAACATAAATACTTATCCAGGAGTTTGCAGCATATTTTAATATATGCAATGGTCGAATATCTAATGACGCCCCTCAAACAGAACTAGAGCATGTGTAGAGCTCCACACATTTCCGTACCTATTGATTTAGAATATGTCATACGCTGTGAAATAAATAGTTATATTCAGTGTCTGTGATTACAACCTTAAAACGTGTGCAATAAACACAATACCCAACGTGCTATTTTCCCCAGGCAAACCAGAAAATGCAATATCGACAAAATTGCGTACTAAATATTAACCCACACAGGTCTCTAGTAATTGCATGCCCCAAACCGACTATCAATTAAAAATAATAATTATTAATTAACACTGTTTTAGAGCTGTTTCTTCATCAATCCAGAAGTTATGATTATTATTACTATAGTCACTATTACGATTATCATCACCACAATCATTGTTGCTTTAACTTTGTTGAGAGTGAATAAGTAAAGAGCTTGAAACTACTATCAATTCTCAACTCTCTCTTTTTTTAAAGAATAAAATTCATTCAACCCAGGACCTAACATTTTTCACGGAGTGGTCTTTTACGACTTGAGTGAGAATAATCGTTTATATTATATAAACGATTATTCTCACTCAAGTCGTAAAAGACCACTCCGTGAAAAATGTTAGGTCCTGGGTTGAGTGAATTTTGAATCGATAAGATTACAAATAGAGAATCAATGAAATCGGTACGCTTGTAAGCAATTTTTGCACATACTTATATATTTTTGAATTCAATATCAGAGTATCGTTATGATGTAGATACTCCTTTCTTTTGTATGCGTATTGTACTGATCATCTTTAACATTAAATAGTTAGATAAAAAATAATCACGGATTGTTTCATGTTTTACCTTGTGTTATAAATATGATAAAGATAACGAGATTATGAATCCACTGTTACAGGGATGATATTCACAAACAATGAATATTGAGAGTCATTTTCTGTTTACAGGTTTAATACTCAATATGAAATCAAATCGTGACTTTGCTTTAACATAATCTGTTGTTAGAGGTGTATTCACATACATATAATATATAAAGGTCATTCTCGAGCATAGTATCTCCTTATATCATCTCGCGTTCACCTTCCTTGCGCTTAGTTTACCCCTCGGTCTCACCTTTTTGTGTAGCGCCTTTCCTTCCTCCTTGCACACCCCCCCTTAATTACGCCACTGCTCATACCTCTTATCCAGAAGGGGGGGGGGGGGGCCTTTACTGAAATGAGATTGATCTTTGGACTCTCTTCAGGAGCAACGGTTACCTTAATCCCTGTCGTGACCAATAAGTACACAGCGCCCTCTGAGTTGGTCAACGCATTTGATTTGCACAGGTTCTTTCTTGAAGTCTACCATCGGGTACCATTCGAGTTATATGTAATTATTAACCTTTATACGAAATAAGTTTTGTGATATAGGCCTATGATGTTGATCTCTTTTCAAACTATAATTATGATTTTCCGGATTAAATTTATTTTCATCTGATCACACTGTCTTGATTGGCACTTATTAAAAGAGATTAGGAGACATGGGTCAATATAAAAGGGTCACCTCTCAAATTGGAATAGGAGCAATTAGCAGAGATGAAAAGGGGGAACTGTAATAATGAAAAGATGGCATACAAGGAAAACAGGCACTTGTGAAAATGAAAGGTGAGATTTGATAAGGTGCATTTATGAGAGGTGAAAGGGCTCTTATCGGAGATGATAAGGGTGCACTTCTCTTACCTGAAAAGGGACACTTAAGAGAAAGAAAGTGGGCACCTATTACAAAGGAAAAGGGACATCTGTCAGATTTTATTAGAGGCATTTATCTGGAGTGTGAGATCCAAGAAATATTTATGAGTGAGAAATCCTATCCCTAAGGGGAAACAAATCATACTCATTTAACTTGTAATGGCGAGAGGGATTGCTGCGATGTGCGTGGGTGAACGTTTAGGTTGAGCGAAAGGATCACAAGTGCAAAGGTTCAACATAATATTTCCTGTCATGAGTGTCAGTGGGAATTTCCACCCGAAAACAAATACATACTCAAACAACTGCATTGCTGAAAGAAACATTATCATGCGCCTCTTACTGATCTGAGAGCATAATCGCCGTTAGAGCTACGTCATAACGTAAGTGCTAATTAAGAAGAAGCGTATACAAGTCATAATGTTGTACCTGGAAGACCCTATTTATCTCGGAATGCATTATGTTTAACATTTTTTTAGTGCCATAATAGCCAGCTAAGTATTTACGAAATATTTCACACTTTTTACTGAGTTGTCCAATTAATTCACCGATGAGTTTTCTCTTCCTCAGGTCGTGTGCTCGAGTTGTCAATGATGGCTACTTCATTGAAGCAAATGCAGGCTGTCCATAAGAACCTCGAGTGTCCTGTATGCCTGAGTTTCTTCAAGGAACCCAAGATCCTGACCTGCTCCCATACCTTCTGCAAGGGTTGTCTTGAGACTCTCCTGGAGTCCCATGGAGAGCTGTTGTGTCCTACGTGCAGGGAGGAGACTTCGGTTCCTGGTGGAGACGTGGGTAGACTGCAAACAAACATAACAGTCAGATCACTTGTTGAAGATGTGAAGACCCAGGGCCAGGCCGGTTCCAACAGTAATCAAGAAAACGAATCATTGCAAAGAAAATGGAACAAATGTCGAAAACATCCGAACTACGATGAAGAATGTTTTTGTCTCAACTGTAACAAGTTTGTCTGCAGCATGTGTGGCGTATTAGAGCATGCAAAGGAGGCTCACACTATCGTGGAAGCAGGCGAACATGAAACTGAGAAAAAGAATCACGTCGAGGAACTTGCATCTAAAGCGGATGCAAAGATACGCAACGTTGACAAATATTTTACTTTCGTTGAAGACCAGCGTAAAAGGATGCATAAAATACAGGAACGACTCAATGGCGAAATAGATGAAACTTTTGAGGAATTAGTTGAGAAATTGAAGGAAAGAAAAAGGGTGTTGAAAAATGAAGTTGGGCAGAAGCTAGGGAAACTTAAGATTTCATTGGAAGACGTGGAGAAGTCGGTTCGTAAGCAGACAGACCAGATTAAGAAGGTTCTTGACTTGGTTAAGAATGGTCTTAATTTTCCTCTCCAGACAGAGGCTCTGACCTCACACAAAGCGATGTGTCAACAGCTGAAAGAGCTTCTGAACCGGATATGGCTAGATGCAGAGCTGCCCAGAAGAACCACTGAGGAAGGTGAAAGAATTGGCTTCAGGAGTCAGGGATTGGAGGGACTCAAGTTGGGCCACCTAAGACAAAAGAATTCTAAATCATGGGCTCTGCGCACGGAAGCTCCCTTGCCTGATGAGAAAAGCATGAGCGGGATGGTAATATCACCAAACAATGAGATATCTGTCGGTTGTCCCCAGGGAGGAATAGTCATATATTCTTCTAACGGCACCATTCAAGAAACCATTCTGAAATATGCTAACGTAGGGGCCTTACACGTCATGCCTGATGGTGGATACGTCGTACGCGACACTCGACATAATAGAATTTCCTTGTACACAGAGCTTTGTGACAAGCTTGATATAACGTTTGAGACATGGGGTTATGAGCAAGGTGGGGATGGAGGTCTCACTGTAGGCAAGGATGGGCTGATTTTCGTAGGTTACGATAAATGCCAGAAAATACAGGTATTTAGACCAGAAGGGGGGAAGGCAATAAGAGAGATAATGTGTAAGGGATTTGTGCCATGGCATATGTTTGCGATGACATCCAACCAAGCGATTGTCGTTAGGAGTATACGTACATGTACACGTACATGGACACGTCAATATCAGGTACAAGTGATCAACGATGTGTCTGGTGCTATCATTCATAGCATCAGCAAAGATGATGATATCCCTTACCCTGCTGTGTGTCAGGATGATTCAGTTATCATTGCATGGGTGAATCACTATCCGGGTCTGCTGAGCATCGACCAGTACACAAAAAAACTCAAATACATCAAAAACATTCTTACTGATTTCAAGATAGCGAATTCACTTGGTGGCTGCTTGCAAGCATTCAAGACGGGAGAGATTGCTTTTTGCACTGATGATAGGCTTTACATCTTTCATGAGACATGGCAGTAAATGTCAGTTTTGCAGATAAAACGTGGACTTTATCAAACTTACAGAACCTAACCATTTTAGATTGTTATTCGGTCAAGTAGAATAAATGCAGCGTGTCAATATTATCTACTCTTGCCTGGTCTGGTTGTCACAGCTCATAGTAGTAACCAACACACACCAGATAAATATATGTATGCAGGCACCTGAATAGGTCTGAATAGGAGGATATTTGAGTACCTCGCTTCCCAATAATTAGGATTATTATTGGGGACCTCTTAACCCGAATAATTAAGAGATGATGATGCATCGAATGTCGGAACTTTAAAACGCCCGGATGCAGTCTTTTCAGTGCCCCTGCCTTGCAAGCCTGTGCCGAATTGTGATTTAAATCAAATAGTCGGTCTAGACTCCAGTCTTTTATAATGCTATCGTAATGTTTCATTTCATTATGGCGTCAACAGTAGACTATGTAAGTTTACGATTATAAAGTGTTAAGGCGTTGTGATCATCATTGCAAATGCCGTTTATTTGCTAGACAGATGAAGGTAGATAATCAAGAGGAGGGGTAGCACACCTTCTAATCGACTAAAATCATACATTGTAAATATAATACACAGCCAGGCATTCTCGCTATTATGAGGGATGAGCAGCTGCCTCTTTTCAATGCTATTTGTAATACTGGAAAGATTCCTTAAGTGTTCATGGTAGTGGCGACGTAATTAAGCAAACTATTGTTCTCAAAACATTACAATGTATCTGAAAAAGTTTGTTTTAAAATATGCAAGGTATTATAGATGTGCAATTTTTCCAAGTTTGTTTACTTAAAACATGTCTTGATAATCAGGGTGAAGTCATAATTCTATGTTTGTTTCTTTCTTTGTTTGTTCCAAGGACATTTTCATAATATAGGACATCATTTATTTTTCTGTAATTATCCATAATTGTTTAATATAATTTTATCTGTGCATTAAAAACTTTAAACTTAAGGGCCTTTAATACTCTGTACATTCCCTTATTACCGTACCTTCCTCTATCTCTCTTTGCTTATCAGGCATTTATAATTAATTTATTAATTCAGTTTTTTATTCGGATAGGTTTATGGAAAGAAAATTCTTTGTAAGTCAGTCCAAAGACTGATACATTCAAAATGTACATATTTTTATTGTTAAAAATTATATTTAAAAAACAGTATATTCACACAAATTGACAAGGAATACAAATTAAGATTAGAAAGGGATAAGAATTGTGTAATATATCGCACCTCAAATTTATTATAAACATAAACAAATCTTTCCAATTATAAAGACAGCAAACGAGAAATTAAAGAAACAAGCTTGGGAACTCGACAGAGAGAAGAGAGAGAAAAGATGGGGGATCTTTTGAGAAAAGGTAAAAGATTTCAGAGTGCCATTTCATTTGTTCATGGTTTTCATTCGAATCCTAATACACGCGGCATAATGATTAGCTATTTTTTTATTTGGCAATTATGATGTATATATATTTATATCGTTACAAAAATATTTAGAAATGCTTGTACTATGTGCGTTGCAAGGTAAACAAAGTAAATATGACAGTGAAATAGATACCGATGATTTAGTTTGAAACTATAGATCATATTTTAGATCGTTACACTATACCGGTAGCAAGGAACCCCCGATGTATTAAGGGGAGGGGGAGAAGAATGTTATGTTAGTCTATAGCCCAACGTTGTGAATTTAATGTTCTATTTTAATTTATTTTACTAATTTAAAGATTAATTATTTCATGTCATATTGATTTGCTCTATGTACGTTTATATTGTTAGACTTGTAATGTTGGTGTATATAAATAAACAATTTCTGCTTTCATTTGTCGCATGTGCATAACATGTATGTACGAGATCCTTTAAAGTTTTTAAGAATTCCCAGTTATATTTTGAATTGGAAAGGAAATCAGTGTTTTATATACCTTAATTTATATTTCTTTTTATTATCTAGGTATTCTAATATGCATTAAAGTTAAAATTCCCCTTCCTTACTAGGTCTATGATTCTTTCATTGTAGATTAATTAACTTACTTTATTATCTTTGTAACAGCATAGAGACATTCCTGCATTATTGCGCTAAAAAGCATAATTATTATTATGATGAAATTATGCCAGTTATCATGTTCCATAAAAATTATGTTACATATTTCGTAATTATTTCAATAATGTTTTCTTAAAGATAATTAAAGGAATAAACTTGAAGTATGAATTTGATCACTGATATTTCCAGAAAATAGTTCTTTGTCCACTGATATTTGTGTAAAGAAAAACAAACCTAAAGAAGTGAAAGACCGAGTCATCAAAAGTATTGATTTAAATAATACATGCAGGAGGTATATGAAAGTTTTTAGAAATGATATTCGTATAATATGTCAGCGGTTAAAATGGTAAGCGTAAAGGTTAACAATCAAGAAGAAATCGAAAAACCAGAAGACGACTTTTGCCATGATAATAATGTTCCATCGACATTAGTTTGAGTAAAGACTTTCCGTACTACATCAAATGATGTCATACTGTCTTCAACATTCTTTGCATAAAACGACAGACTCGTTTTCGAGTTTTCATCAAAATCTGAGGGCCTTTAAGTTCAATCTGCTTGCTTTTCTTCGTCGTCGACAAAGGAATATTTCCTTTCAAGCCAACATTTCCCAGGGACTCGGTTATTTCCCCATTACTAGTATATTTATCATGTTTAATAGTTTAATTGGAAGTTGAGTGTGATTTGAAGGCATCGTCCAAATTAAAAGTCATCCTTATCTGTCGCCCTCTTTGGCAATATGCCACGGATCACCAACAAAGCTCTCTGAGCCATGCAGAACCTTGATGGTTGCATATGATAGGGCGTATATTATAATAATAATACTATTATCTAAAAATAATGATGATCATGATCATGCATGATACAAATAATGACAATAATGATAATAATGATAGTAATAATAATAGTACTAATACTTTGATAAGTTATGACGATAATGCTGATGATAATGATAATATTAACAATAATAATATTTTGAGTTGTGCCACAAGAGAGAAGAGACTCTCAAGTTTGGAGAAAAAAACCCCCAGAAATCAATGATTTTGTGTCTACGACAAACGGAAGAGTTTTTCATGAATACGTCACAATCCACTGACGAAATAGCCAATTTGAGATTCGAATAGTTTTAGTGATCTGATATGTCAAACATTAGTTCGTTTTATTTCAAACTTTCACCAATCTGAATCTGACCTTATTACGAAGGTTGGATTGCCCTTTGATGCCATGTTTCTAAGCGCATGGTACTGTATGGATCCTAATAAAGAGATACAAGAGAGAGGAGAGATGAAGATGAAATGTAGAGAAAGAGGATTTTGATGCTCATCACCATCTGTGTTAAGATGAAGAGAATATCATCACCCGACATTTGACGATTCTACAATAACCTTGCTCTAGATTAAACACATACGTGTTATGGAACTGATGTTAAGTGTTTTGTTTTTCTTCTTCTAAGTTTGTGTTATGTAAACGACATGGACCCTAGATTATTTAAGAGAAAGAGAGAGAGAGAGGAGAGTGCTTTTGCCTGGAAACCATAACAAACCTATTTACGATCCCTATTAGGCACACTCTCATGTCACAGTATCGTTGGTGAATGAGATACACCTGGGCTTCATACACCTGGGCTTCTGAAAAGGGTAAATGAAGACAGAAAAACACATTTTAAAGGAATTCTCTGAAAGGAAACGTACCTAGATTGAAATCATTTGTAATGATGTTCACGCAGGTAGGTTTTACACTAACAAATATTGTATGATCACTGATTCTAACCTGAGGAGCGTAGGTGCTTAGAAGCTCAAAAACATGTTTGTCGAATAGATTCTTTAGAGTAAAATTACAATAGAAAACTATTTGAAGTGTAAGCATGTCCAAATTTGGGTACTAATTCGTTTCCCTTTGATACAAACATCACTCGCTGAAATAATATACGCGAAAAACTCAACAGATATATCTGAAGTGAGAAATTTAACAATATTTTGGCTTCTGTTTAGGACACTTACCCGATATTCAGGTCCACCATCCACCCTCATCCACACAATACAGCTACCCCCGTCCCCCCCCCCCCCCCCCACTATGCGACACACGACACACACACAATCACCACCCGACCACAGTTCCACACATATACCACACACTATTCCTAGCCTCCTCAGAATAACCAAAATTGGATCGACAGAATAATATAAATAATCTATTAAAACAAATATTTAAACAAATATTAAAACGAGACTAAATAATCCAGTGTTAAAATTACATTAAAGATTCCACTTGTTCCCAATTCTATAAATGTAAGGCTAATGTCCCTGCCCTCCCTGCAATACTCTTTTCTTCTTCCCTGAATTCCAACAGTTTTTTTTTGTTGAAAATCACAGCATCTATATATCCAATATTTCATTGCAAAAATAATTGTATTACATATCTTTATTCGTGGGGAATTACCTGACAATCCTAAATGAATATCCATCCAGTCGACAGACCTTAGCTATTACATTCTGCCATAACCTCTGAACATGTACACGCTCCCAGAACAAGTGTTAATATGTTTCAATCTTTTGCTTATAAAATGAGTACAAGTAATATCTTCAACAAAGCCGAATCTCGATAAGAGTTCTCTAGTATATATGAAGCAGTTTATACTGAATTTCTCGTAGTCTGTTAATAGCAAGAGTAACTTTCCTAGGCCTACTAAATATCTTCCTATATACCTCATTTGAATAATCTGAAAATCCACGTCCATGGTGAATCTTCAAAACAAATACATTTTTAAATTTTCTATACAATATTCAGAAACCTTCGTCAATAATCAATCTCTGAGGAGCTTCACAGTACTGTTACACTGCATTAAAATACCATACTCTCTTAAATCCACTAAATACACTTTTTCCTTTTTCCTTTTACATACACAAACCACATCAATACGTTCCCCTGCACCCACACTTACAACTACCAGGCCTGGGA